ATAAGGCGCGTTTTCATTGCTCAAAAAAAATGTGTGAGAGCAGTTTTTGGTCTCCCAATGAGAGAATCACGTAAACCCGTTTTTAAATATCATAAAATTCTAACACTACCATCTATAATAATTCTTGAATCAGCAATTATTTGTAAAGAATAATTATACTTTCTTTTCAAAATATGAACAGCAACATGTTTATGGCCCAAGGGGTATGGAAAATTATTATTTACTGCCACCAAAAACTCAGTATGCCAAAGTGCAAAAAAGTACTTTTAATTTTTGTGTTAAAGTATACAACCACATACCTAATAGTATAAAAATTAAATCGGCTATGTGTTTGAAAAAAACTCTGTACACAGTTAACGAATTTTTTGCTGCAAATATACCAATGATGTAATATAATTAGAAATAAAGTTTATTATTATTATTAATGGCAAGATTCTGTTTGGTCGACAAGACTACCATATCAACCTCGGCAGCTTTTATACAGTAGAGCTCATCGAATGATGGCCACCGCTTCTTTGAGGTTCGCCATCTTCGCCAACCCAACTTAATTTTGACCATTACATCGTCATTCAAATATCACATAAATATCCAGATTTACAGTTTTCGTGCAGAAGTAAAATGTGTCCAGCAGTTCTTTAAACAACTTTACAACTTATAGTTGATGTTGTATAGCGATTATTTGTTTCTGCACTTAGTACAACAATTTGCAAAATCTTTTTTCTTGCTTGGGTTGTGATTCAAATTTGTCTCAATACTGTCATAAATGAAATGTGGTCATATCGCAACATAAATCAGTCATACAGTTGTCCCAAAACACATAAAAATGCACTCCAACGCATCGTTACACATACAGTTGACTTTGTATAGCGATTAATTGCTTCTGCACTTAGCATAACGATTTGCAAAAACTTTTTTCTTGCTTGGGTTGGCATCCAAGTTTGTCTAATCATTGTCGTAAATGAAATGTGGTTATATCGCATCATAAAGCAGTAATATAGTTGTCCCAAAACAGTAGATGTACATAAAAATGCACTCCAACGCATCGTTACACTTACAGTTGACTTTGTATAGCGATTAATTATTTCCGCGATTTGCAAAAACTTTTTTCTTGCTTGGGTTGTGATCCAAATTTGTCTCATCACCGCAACATAAAGCTAAGTAGTAAGTTTTATACTTTTCCTCACTCATGATTATTTTTGAATGATACCCAAAGTTATTTAACGACTTATAAATTATCTTTGTGTAAGAAAATTTTAGTCTTTTCCCCTCGGTAAAAATGTTTTGGGACGATTTAAGGGCGACATCTTGGATACGCGGGGGCGGGATGATTTGTCACCCCATTTTTTCGCTCCTCCGACTAACGTATGGCGCCCGAAGGAGAACGCGACAGACTTCCCAATTAAACTGCGCCAGTAAATTCGGGGTGAGTTACGTTCCCCCCGCCCTCGCCCGTCCAGGTCTTATATAAACTTCCTTTTCCCCTAACTCTACCCGGTTTTTGCTTAATAGTAATACTCGGGTTAAGAGAGAGAAAGAGAGTTCAATGCGGCGTGAATATTTATAATATTGAGGGAAAATTGAAGTAGAAGAAAGGGGTGGAACTCAAATAAATCGGTCGAATAAAAATAAGTTTTTGCGGGAGGGATGGAACGCCCAAGTTGGGGTAGCTACTTTGTTTGATTGGAATTGTACCCGCGGGATTCGGGGGGAAGTTCGAAGAATTGGATAGCCGCCAATAAATCTTTTTGACTCGACTAAGGGAAATTGTAAAACTCTCTTTTAAGATTTTAACTTTCTTATTTCTTTTTTTATCTAGGTGTAGACACGACATTGTGATGTATCGATTGGTTATCTTAAAAGATATCGCCGATGGTTATTGATAGGTTCTCCTCGGGGTGCAAATCCCCCTTTCCGTTCTGCGCTCCATGCTATCATCTTCATTACCTCGCGCGCCATTTTACATATCTAGATGCACGCAGATTGCTGAGGACGGGCCATGGGGCTCCCTTAATGCGCCACACTCATGCTATTAACGAAATATGCGCGGACGTCGGTCGTAAAATGGGCGGCGGCGGACCAGCGGCCGACGCCGGTTCGCACACGCTCGCTCCCGACGAGTGTATCTCAATCAGGGCAAGGGAAACAGGCACGCAATTATGCCGTTGCTCGTAAATACCAGATCAGCCTTTTTTATCCCCAAGCGGCTATGCTCTCCGTCCAAGAGGGTGTACGAACAAGTGTAAACTTATTAATAACCTTTTACAGTATTGCTTCAAGCTTAAGCTTGAGTCAAGATGATTGTATGTCTTGTAGGGGGAATTGTAGTGGAAATTTCCTTACTTCCTGTGTTAAAATCTCACCGGAGCAGTTTTCAAAACTCAAAGAAGCCGGGAAATTAAAAGTGTGGAGTTGCGATAACTGTAAGGAAAATGACCTAACCTTAAATCCACAAATGAAGTTGAACTCTATGGATGATATTGCCGATTTAATCTCACTAAAATTGGAGGCTACAATGGTAAAAGTAGTGTCTGAAATAACAAGTAATTTGAAATTGAATCGTTGAAAGGATTTCTTAAGTTAAAGAATTTTTCTAATAACCCAACGGCAACACCGTTAGATGTCAGCTCTAACCAATTCACAGAGAATATGAGAGATAATCGAGATAATGACTTAGAACAAAATAATTTTGTAGAAGTTAAATATACCAAAGATTCGATTAAAAATCAATTAAATTCTACTGATGATGACTATAAAAAAATAATGGCAAAACGCAAAAAACGCACTTCCAATACAATAATGGAAGCTGCAATTAATACAATTGTAAAGGTGCCCAAAAATATCATCATTTCCATGTCTACCGTTTATATCCCAATACAACTACAGAAGATGTAATAAATCATTTCAAAACCCAAAGTCTAACTGATATAAAATGTGAAAAATGAATGCTCAATACCCTGAGGAGTATGCTTCATTTAAAGTATCTGTATTAGAGGAACAATATGAAAAGATTGAAAATGCTACGACGTGGCCAAGTGGAGTTCGAGTGAACCGGTTTTTATTCCGAGTTCGGATGAATCAAAAACAGACTACTTAATTAACCACTTATAAACAAGAATATTCAAAGCTTAAGAAATAATTGTTGATCTTTTGATTCTTGTTGACAGTCTAGAAGGTGAGGTCAATGCAGTTTTACTCTCCGAACATTGGTTAAAACCAACTGAACCTGTATTTAAAGATGGTTTCCATGTTGCATCCTTATTTACTAAAACTAAGAAATCCCATGGTGGTTCCTGTATTTTATTGCGGAGGGGAATATAGTATGTTGAGTTACTTCACCTAAAACAAAAAAGTATCGAGCAAGTATCTGCAATTAGAGAGTGTAGTGCAGTAAAATTGAGCAAAATTGAAATGATTGTGATTAACATTTATTCTCCTCCGAACAAATCTAGAACGGAGTTGGATCTATTCTTTCAGTCACTGGAGTCTATTTTGGATTGATTTGAAGAAAACCAGCAAAGAGTCTAAACAGATGTTAGATATATTCAAAGCACACAATCTTGAGGGCACTGTAAATGATCCTACCAGAGTTACTAAAATGACCAGTACACTGATAGATAATGTTTTTACTAATGTACTTTCATGTGGAAGTGACACTAATCATTCAAACTTATCGGATCATTACACTCAAAGAGTAATCATAGAAACCCATACTGCAATAAATGATTCGTAATATATTAAAGAAAGAATATTTACGAAACATAAGCTAGATTTAATAAGTCAACATCTGGAAGATTGATTCCACGAAATGTCACAATTTATTTGTTGGGAAACTTAATTCCATAATTCATCAGATTGTGAAAGTAAAAAAGATAAATGTTAGTGAAAATCAAAGTAAGTGGATTACTCAAGAAATAAAAACACTATCAGCAATAAAAGGACAAATGTACGAAAGCCTCAAGAATAAAAAAATTGATAAAGAGTGAAATTGAAACTACTAAAAAACAGTTGAATACAGATTACATTATTAATTCTAATAATAAAATAAGAGCGTCTTGGCAACTAATAAACCGCCTTGAAGGTAAAGCTACCACAAGTGGTATAAAGCCAGCAGATTTTGAACCAATCATATTGATTTCCTTGCTGGCAAGATCAGTCATTTCTCCTATGCCATTCGGATTATTTCCAGATCAGCTGGCATTGAGGCAGCATTAAGTGCCTATTATGCATATGTCCATTCCTTGCTAAGATATGGAGTTGTCTTTTGATAAGGTGTTGGTATAGACAGAATCTTCATACTACAGAAGAGGTGTGTAAGAGCAATCTTTGGTCTAAAAAATACTAATAGCTGTAGAAGTTACTTTAAAGACTATAAAATATCTACCTTGTATGGAATTTATGTACTGGAATGTGCCGTATTGGTTAGAATTACTTTGAATTTTTCTGAAAGCTATTATCACGGAAAATCCGATGTATACCATTGACAATGTGTATTATATTACAAAGTAATTATTGTTAAATTGACGTACTCTACGCTTTTTTGGTAAAATGGGGGGAATAAAGTATTATATTATTATTATTATTAAGATGAAATTTTTGTTGGTACTTTTTGCAAAATGTGGTGTGGAGGGTTCGAGATAAATACCTCCATAAATAAAAAGCGCCACAGCCAAAACACTTGATTAATTGCCGCTTCTGCCACGGACCATTTTAAAATCCTCCGTGTCCGGAGCCATGACTTACGACCGTCCGGGGACTTACTACCTGGACCCCTCACCTTTATCTCTTATGGCCGATCTCGCGTTTCCATCTTAGAGAAACGCTGCGGGAATCGTCGCCCGAGGACCAATCGCGAATGGGGCACTGCCCTTCCCATCTGGGCCCCATTCGATGGTTCCCTAGACTCAGTCTCGACTTCGACTTGAAACCATCAACCCCCATCTATTCTTATAGAACCATCTTTTTTTTTTGCTGCGTGACTAATTCGTTTTAATTCTTTTTAGGCGCAAATGGACTCCGCAGACGAGGAAGACAAACGTACACCAGGTACCAAACGTTGGAATTGGAGAAGGAGTTCCACACGAATCATTACCTGACGAGGAGGCGGCGTATAGAAATGGCACACGCGCTTTGCCTAACGGAACGACAAATCAAAATTTGGTTCCAAAACCGAAGGATGAAATTAAAGAAAGAAATTCAAGCGATCAAAGAACTTAACGAACAAGAAAAACAGGCACAAGCCCAAAAAGCTGCGGCGGCGGCGGCGGCTGCGGCGGCAGCAGCCCAAGTGGACCAGAACTAGTGGAGCGGATATACTTAGACGATCTCGGCGATTGGCTAGCAGTTGCACTTGTAAAAATTAAGGTAAGAATTTTTATTTTTATTTATAAATGTTTTCATTTATCAATTGATACTTAAAAAGAAATAAACAAACGGATACCACAAACCGTATATTATTAACGGTAGCCCCCGTTTCTCGTTCTTCGAAACGATCGTCGGCAATTAGGGCCCTTATAAGTCGGACCGTGGATGAAGTCACGTGCGTGCGTTTTTCGAAATTGCATATCACGACCGCGCGGAGCTGATGTCTTTCTTAAGTCTCCACCGAAGACCGGTCCGTTGCGGTTGACCTCGTAAATAGCACCTTAAATATGCAGCCGACGACGACCGCGAAGAAAAAGGAAAGAACACCAGCCCCGGTTCGGTTTACAGAGAGAGGATCGTTTCGTTCCCCAGACGTAATTAAGAATTTTAGTTAGTGTTGTGGTGTTCCATTTAGTTTCCTCTTCGGCAACATCCAAAACAGGTCCACCGTTTGCTTTTATTGGTCAATCAAATTGGGGATAATTCCCTAGACAACCTTCCGGATAATCCACACACAAGATTTATCCCACCCGAAAAAGGTCTCCTCCCTCTATTCCAAGGGGGAAAACTTGACTCAGGTTAATTACTTTAGGATTTGTTATTTGTTGAGTCAACCAAAACTAGATTAAACCTAAACCATAAAAGAGAAACAATATTATACAGAAAACAATTTTATTCTTTTATGGTGGTCCTGAGGATATTAATTCCTTTACGAGATACCGAGACTCTCGTGTAAATTACAGGGCGGTAATCGACCATAAATCCCCGGGCCAATTGCCGGCCGACGATAATTTTTAAGAACTCGCGGCGGTCTGCGCGCGAAAGATCGGATCTAATTATAATTCAATCAGAAATAATTGCGGAATTATCGCAGGCGCAAAGGAAGGGCGGCAAAATCCCGCCCCTACAACAAAACCCACTCGCAAAGAACTAAAGTGGGGTTACTTTAAATTATTTTGTTTTATCTCAAACCTAATTACAATAAAAAATGTACAGATAGTAGAAGAGTATCTAGTGAAGAGAGTTTTAAAAATAGGGGTTAACTTTAGAGATAACAAAGAAACTTTTTAAGTGGGGTCATAAATCTTCACAACTTAACCTGCTTGGTGGTTATTTTTAGTTATTTAGTTATAATTAGATTAATTTGTGTTGAAAAATTTAAATCTAACATTAATGTTATATATTATACATCGCATTCTATTAGACATATATGGAAGAGTTTTACATAAGATTAACCTGTGGAGAAGACAAGGAGAATGTAATTTCCTACGGCGTGATATATTCTCCCATTTGACCCAACTCAGCTTATGAGAATTTCACTTTATCTTTATTATATTGCATAAACAAATATTTTGTGATTAACTATCATTATAATAAACATGGAACAAAATTGTTTATGGATTAAGTTTTAAATTTTTGAATTTGAAATGTTTGGAATTTTAAATTTACTAGATTGGTACTAATCACAGTTGGGTTATAATTGTTTATGGATAATGTTTTGATGCTTTATTATGAACAATTTTTATCTAAAATCGTAAATTTAAAAATTTCTGGATTTTATGGTTTATAACTAAAATTTCGAAGTAGTTAGAATAAAATTATTGATGGATTAAGTTTTTATATTGTATTATGAACAATTTTTATGATAATCATTCTCATCTATAGTCATTAATTTTTGAGTTAAACATTATTTTGTTATTAAATACCTCAAATTTGATATGTTTGGGATTTTAAAGTTGCTAGATTGGTACTAATTACAGTTGGGTTATATTTGTTTATGGATAACGTTTTGATGTTTTATTATCAACATTTTTTATTAAAAACGTTTTCTCCTAACATTTTTATTTTTCAAGTTACAAAAGAATTTTTATCTGAAATCGCCAATTTAGAAATTTCAAGATTTTGTGGTAATAACTAAAATTACAAAGTACTTGGAATAAAATTATTGATGGATTAATTTTTTACATTGTATTATGAGCAATTTTTATGATAATCATTCTCATTTATCGTCATTAATTTTTGAATTAAACATGATTATGTTATTAATTATTAAATACCTCAAATTTGATATGTTTGAGATTTCAAACTTGCTAGGTTGGTACTAATCACAGTTGAGTTATAATTGTTTATGGATAACGTTTTGATGCTTTATTATCAACAATTTTTATTAAAAACGTTTTCTCCTAACATTTTTATTTTTCAAGTTACAAAAGCATTTTTATCTAAAATCGTAAATTTAGGATTTTATGGTTTATAACTAAAATTTCGATCTAAAACCATAAATTTCGTTTTTATGGTTTATTATAAACTATTTTTATTACTATTATTCTCATCCATGATTTTTAATTTTTAACTTAAAATCATTTATGTTGTTAAACACCGCAAGTCTGAAATATATACGATTTTAAATTCGTTAGGTTGGTAATAATTATAGTTTGTTTATAATTGTTCTCGGATAATGTTTTTTTGCTTTATTACAAAGAAATTTCATTTACAAACTTTTCTCCCAACAGTTATAATAAAACATTTATCCAAAACCATCACAAAAAACCTAAAATATTCAATAAAATGGGTTTAAACTCAACTTTAAGACTTACTGAGGGGGTAATTGATTTATATTTGGTACGAAAATGTGCAGAATGATGTACTGAATAAAATGAGTGTACACAATCCAAATTTGGCAATGGAATAAAAAAGTTACCACTAATTTACATATCTTATTAAAGAAAAATAAGGAATAAATCGTGTTTAATAATATTTTTCATCAACCTGACTTGAAACTAAGTTCTTCATCATTGTGTATTGCAGCAACAGCAATGACAATGTCACCTTCATAGCTGGAAAATCCTATATAAACACATTTTTTGTCTTCATCATCTTCATCATATGCATGATGTCACCAGTTTAAAAAAAAACCTGATAATCAAATCTGTTAATGCAAAAAGTTTTATATTTTCAATTACGATTAGCAAAAAAGTTGTTCCATAAAAGAAAATTTTAATATTCTTAAAGTGTAAAACATTAGGTAATAAAATGTAATGTTTGTTGTTAATAACTAATTGCTCGTTCAATTAGTTTAAAGGAGGTGTAAGAATTGCTGCGGGCGTGTCCTTCTTTGACGTGTTTAAACCGGTTTTTGCATATCCGCCGCATTATGGCCGTTTATATCTCGTCGGTTAGATCTCTTCGTCGGCAAGGTTCGCATGTAAATCGTCTGGAGGGGTAATTTTAAATCATTTACGCGCCTCGGTCTTCGCGTTGGCAGCAGTCATCAAAACCCCGTTTTATACCGTCATCCGCATCGCGACTGCCGCGTTACGCCAAACGATTATTGCTCGTAATGTGACGTTTTATGAATCTCGATTAAAACTAATCGACACTTTCGAAAATAATCGCGAACGTAAATTAAATTCAATTGAAATCGATTACTTTTATAATTATATTATTAACTTAAAAAGCGTTTCCTGATGGTGATTTTTTTATGTTGAAATCGGCGCCAACATTGCGCGTCGCATTAAAATGTCATTATCCCAAAAATATCCGCTATAAATAACACTCCGGGTTATTTCTCTTTTTCGGCTCCTTTCTGTCTCTTTTTTTAGAATCTTTCCTTCTTCGGGTAAATGTAAGGGGATAAAATATTCAGTCGGACAGGGCACGTTCCGTAGCCACTTACGGTGATTTTATTGCCCTCTCGTTGCGTTAGCCCGAACTATAAACATCAATCGCCATCAAACCGTCCCTTAATCCCATTAATTCCCGCTAGATGGCGACGGAGAACCGCACCCGGAGGTTCGAAAACGCGCTAAGCGCCCATTCCACATGGTTTATAGTGTAGCCGCTCTCTGCTAGGTGGCGGATCGACGATGACCTTGGGTTACCCCCTCCATATACAAAGCGATCCGGCCCGCTCCGGGAGAGACCACTTTGCCGACGACGAGTCGATTGGCTTTTGTGTTAAAATGGGTCGGTAATAACGGTCGCTATTTTATGTTTACGGTTTGTTTTGATGGCCTTTGGGATTTCCCCTTCGTTTCTCTCTCTTTTTAAGTCGTTCGGTTTCGTTTATTGCCTTTATTTTTAGTTTGGAAATTTTATTATTATTTTTTTATTTTTTATTGCTAAACTTTGATTTGAAATTAAAGTGTGATTAAAGTTTATGATTTTATTTTAGTGTTTCTTCTTAGTTGTAGATGGCGCGTTAACTTGCTAATAAAAATTTTATTTGAAACGACCAAACCCTGTTTATATTCCAGGTCATTCATCTGTATATTGATTTTTCTTGGCTATGTATATATGGAATTATTTCCATTTCCGATTTTAATGGATATATATTTCTTCAATATAATTCTTAAAATTTATCTTATCTATCGGGGAAAAATGGCCGCTTCGACTTTTTAAAGTTTTTAACTGACATTTTCTTGTGATTTGGGTTGGGTTTCCTACCTGGGGATGATTCCACTTCTATTTTTTGTTAATGTTGAGGAATGTTGTTTCTTTATAATGAGAGTACCTCAAAAAATCCTTTTTAATAAGAATTTTTTTAATACTGACAAATTAAGGAAATCCCCGAAAATAATCCCTCGAAGCGAAATAAATCAACGGTTATTATTTCCTCTCGCTTTTTTCTTTCTTTTCTCGCGTCAGAAACACCTCCTACGGTGTTTTTGGTAGGGTCTAGATAAAAAAACGTTAAGAAATGGTTGGAGCGTATAGAAAAAATCCGACTTCTTCTTCTTCTTCTTCGTCTCGTTCTTTCAAGTTCTCGTCGACAAACAAATTTGACAAAATAAAAGCTGGCCGTAACTCACCTGTGCCGGCCATAAATATTGGCGCTCCAGCCCCGGACATGACTGACCAATAAAGGAGACCTTTGTTCGTATGATAAACGCGTTACGATACTGAAATATGACCGCTGCGCCACGGTCAGGACCGGCGTGTTAAGAAAAAAATCCGAGCAAAGAAGATCGTATCACGATGTTTTTTATAGTGTTTCTTCG